TCCAGCAGCACCTTCACCTCTTCTAAATCTTTCTGTAGCTCTTCCAAAGCTGAAGCCATGGTCGGACTGATCAGGCAAGGCCTGAGCTGCAGACACGCAGGGGGGAACAACAGGAAACTGTTGTATCTTCATTTTGAATTGGGACTTTTTGTTTTGAAATGTGTTATTTTTAATGCTTTTTTTTTTGCCAACTTATACTTTGATATTGGGATTATAGCCCCCGCTTTTTAATCATTTTCCCATTTGTCTGGTATTCCTTTACTCATCCCTTTATTTTTAGCTTTTCTGATTCATGTTGTTCTAGGTGTGTCCTTTGTATATAGCATATAGTCGGGTTTTTGGCCAAAGTGAAAATACTTTTTTGTTACGAGGTAAGCTGAGGCTATTCACGCTTATTTATTTATTTTTTTTTTAGAATTTTTATTTTATTTTATTTTTTTTAAAGATTTTATTTATTTATTTGAGAGAGAGAGAATGAGAGATAGCATGAGAGGGAAGAGGGTCAGAGGGAGAAGCAGACTCCCCGCTGAGCAGGGAGCCCGATGCAGGACTCGATCCCGGGACTCATGACCTGAGCCGAAGGCAGTCGCCCAACCAACTGAGCCACCCAGGCGCCCGCTATTCACACTTATTAATATAATTCATATGTTTGGTCTTAACTGTACCATATTTTTTATGATTATTAAGTGTACTATGTTTATATCTACTATATTTTCTTTGTATCTGTTTTGTTCTTTTAATTGTTAAATTTCTTTTATACTTAGGAAAGATCTTTCCCTATTCTATGATTGTTGCACTTTATATAAAGAGACCTTTAGTGTCAGGTCTGATATCTAACTGGCTAGGAGTTAGGCTGTGCTTAATTTTTGCTGCAGCTGTAGGTGTCAGTCTTTAATTTCCTCCAGTGTCCTTTTTTTTTTTTTTTTTGGTCTCCCTTGTTATCTTTAGGTTTCCTTAGAAACTCCTTCTTAAATATGGTCTGTGTCTTGCAGCTCTCAGTTTCTGTGTGGGAAAAGCAGTACCCATTAGACTGTATTATATGCCAACCCCTCATTTCTCTTTCAGTCTACCTTCTCAACTCCTAACTTGTAAGCTACCTGACAGTAGGAGCCTTGTCTGCCCTTGGCCTAACTTAGCATATCCAGTGAATAAAACAGTATAAAGCAGAGTAGACATTTAAAAAATATGTGTTAGATTAATGAACCAAGAGATAAGGTGCTTTTCTTAACTCTAAAGCCCTTATCTTCCATGTTTTTGTGTTCATCGCCAACTGAGACAGCAGACAGTTTTAAAGCAAGAGCTTTTAAGCATATGTAAAATACTATCAAATACTCAGTAACAACAGGCAAAAAAAAAACCAAAAAACTGACTCACCCTCTTGGCCATTTTGGAAATAAGATTTTTTTTTTTTTTTACCTCATTCATGGTTATGTTCCATTTTCTTACGATGCTGCTTATGTTTACTCACTGTATCCAAAAAACTGAAGTATTAAATTCATTAGGTGTTGTTTAAACAAGCCCAGCAGTCTGGTTAAAGGCATAATTTAATATTTTAGAACATTTGACACATTAAAGACCACAATTAGACTATTCTGGTTAGATATGCTGTGATCTAGTTTCATGCAAGGCAACTAGAATGCTTTTACTATGAAATAACTTTTGCAGCTGTACTTCATGACTTCCATATTAGGATGTCAATATAGTCTTTTAATATACCTCATTCTACTTATAAATATTTCATTAAAATTATAGCATTTAAAGTATATTCCAATATACCAGCCAACATTGGCAATATACAGCCAATATGTTAAGATAAAAAGAGTCTACTGCAAATTTTTTACAGTTACAGATGAATTTTTGAGGCTTAATAGTAGCTACACAGTTTATATGTAGTATTCACAAAGGAAGACAGCAGAGAACTTACTAAAAAGTAATGTTGAAAAAAGTTCAAACATAATTAGATTAGGAACTTGAATTTCATCCTGAAAGTAATGGAGAGTTAATGAAGAATTTTAATCAGAAAGGTAGGCAGATTATACTTAGGTTTAATAAAGATTATTTTGTTTAATTCCCTTTCATTGCACCATCTAACTTTTTTCCTTATTTATTGTGTTTCCATAACTGGAATATAAGGTCCCACAAGACTACAGGTCATATCTGATTTATTCATTGTTTTTTTTTTTAAAGATATTATTTATTTATTTGAGACAGAGAGAGAGAGCACAAGTGGGGAAGAGGGGCAGAGAGAGTGGGACAAGAAGACTCCCCACTGAGCAGGGAGCCAGATGCTGGGCTTGATTCCAGGACCCTAAGATCATGACCTGAGCTGAAGGCAGACACTTAACCAACTGAATCACCCAGGTGCCCCTGACTTATTCATTGTTATATCCCCAATACTATATAACGTGGGTGCAGTAGGTAAACAAACATGACTAAATGAATTAATGTAAAGAATCAGTTAAGAAGCTAATGCCCTTTTTTTTCTGGTGGGGGGCGGGGAGGTGGTGGGAAAGGAGTAGAGCTGGGCAACAACAAATAGTGAAGATCTTAAACCAATGAATTGTTAGGGGGGGCACAAATACCAGTTTGAGAAATATTAAAAAGTGAGACTTAAAAACTGGTCTCCAAAAACATTTAGACAATGAAGAAAAGCAAAAAGTAAAAAATCATTTATGAAATTTAAAAACTTAATCACAAAGCTACCATTACAAAGACAGTGTAGTAATGGTATAAAGATAGAAACTTACTCAATGGAATAGACTAGAGTCCAGAAATAAACTCTTATATTTATGGTCAGTTGACTTTTTAAAAAAGACTTTATTTGTCAGAGAGAGAGAGAGAGAGCACAAGCAGGGGGAGAGGTAGAGAGAGAGAGAAGCAGGCTCCCCACAGAGCAAGGAGCCTGATACGGGACTTGATCCCAGGATGTGACCTGAGATGAAGGCAGACGCTTAACTGACTGAGCCACCCAGGCATCCCATATGATCCACTGATTTTTAACAAGGGTGCCAAGTTCATTCAATGGGGGAGAGAATAGTATCAATGTGCAGAGACGACTGGGTAGCTATATACAAAAAACTGAAGCTGGACCCTTACCTTACACTATATACAAAAGTTAACTCAAAATGGATTACAGACCAAAATGTAAGAACTAAAACTATAAACTCTTTGAGGAAAACATAGGAGTACATCTGTATAACTTTGGATTAGACAAAGGTTTCTTAGATATGAGCAACAAAAGAAAAAAATCGATAAAATGGACAAAATTAAAACTTTTGTGCTTCAAAGGGCACTATCAAGAAAAATGAAGGAAAAAACCCCACAAAATGGGAGAGGATATTTGCAAATCATAGAGCTGATAAGAGATCTGTATCTTGATTATATAAAGAACTCTTACAACAATAAAAAGACAAATAATGCAATTTTAAAATGGGCAAAGGATTCAAAAAGATACTTCTCCAAAGAAGATATACAAATGGCCAAAAAGCACGTGAAAAGATGCTCAATATTATTAGCCAATAGATAAATGCAACTTGAAGCCACCATAACATACCACTTCACACACATTAGGATGGCTAAAATAAAAAAGACAGGCAAGTGTTGATAAGGATATGGAGAAACTGGTACTTTCATTCACTGATGGTAGAATTGTAAAATACAGCCAACTCTGGAAAACCAATTTTAAAAGGTTAAACAAAGTTACCATATGACTCAGCAATTCTACTCCTAGATATATATCCAAGAGAAATAAATACCTACATCTATACAAAAACTTATATGCAAATGTACACAGCAGTATTATTCGGAACAGCCAAAAAGTAGAAACAATTCAAATACCCATCAACTGACCAACAGATAAACAAAATGTGGTAAATCCACACAACAGAACATTATTCAGCCATAAATAGAAATGCAGTACTGATACATGCTACAACATAGATGAACCTTGAAAACATGCAAAGTGAAAGAATATGGACACAAAATAACAAATATTCCATAATTCTATTTATATGAAATGTCCAGAATATAGAAATTCATAAAGACAAAACCTTATTAGTGGTTACCTAGGGCTAGGGGATGAGGTGCAGGGGAGAGGGGTAGACCACTAATAAGTATAATTCTTTTTGGGGTGATGAAAATGTTCTAAAATTAGATAGTGGTGATCACTGCACAACTCTGGGGATATACTAAAACCCACTGAATTATACACTTTATTTTTATTTATATATTTTTTAGAGGGGGTGAGAGAGAGAGAGAGCACATGTGCCCGTGCGCGAGTGGGGGGGAGGGGCAGAGGGAGAGGGAGAGAGAATCTTAAGCAGGCTCCAGGCCCAGCCTGGAGCCCTACATGGGGCTTGATCTCACAACCCTGAGATCATGACCTGAGCCAAAGTCAAGAGTGGGACACTTAACTTAAGCCAACCAGGTACCCCTGAACTGTACACTTTAAAAGGGTATTATGATATAGAAATTATATCTCAATAAACCTGTTACCAAAAACACAGACACATTACTCGTGGACTTTAATAGATCATCCCATCCCCCCCACCCCTGTGCTTTCCAGTTGACTAATGCTCAATCTCCACAAACAAAAATATGCCAAAACACCTCCAGTTTTATAAATATAGGCCTGAAAGTTAATATAAGGAACAGTTAGAATGTGAAGTCCTTGAAGGCCACAAAAGTCAATATCACAGTTCTAATTCCTTTCATTCCTGACCCTGTTATTTATCTCTTATCATAGTATCTTACAC